TTATTGAACAATATCATTACTATCAGATGCAAGTAAAATCTTACTGAAGATAATTGAGGAATGGTTGCAGAAGTATATTAACAGAGAACTTCCAGAAATGCAAGCTGGATTTAGAAGAGGATGTGGAATTAGGCATATCATTGCTGACGCTAGTTGAATCTTGGCTGAAAGCAAAGAATATCAGAAAGGTGTTTACTTATATTTTATTGACTATGCAAAATCATTCAATTGTGTGGATCATAACAAATTATTGGTAACATTGAGAATAACAGGAATTCCAAAACACTTAATTGTACTCATGAGGAACCTGTACATAGACCAGGAGGCTGTAATTTGAACAGAACAAGGGGATACTGCATGGTTTAAAATGAGGAAAGGAGTGTGTCAGAGTTGTATCCTTTCAGCATACTTATTCAACTTCTATACTGAGCAAATAATACAAGAAGCTGGACTATATGAAGAGGAATGAAGCATCAGGATTGAAGGAAGAATCATTAACCACCTGTGATACACTGATGACACAACTTTGTTTGCTGAAAGTGAGGATGACTTGAAGCACTTACTGAAGAAGATTAAAGACTTCAGTCTGCAGTATGGATTACATCTCAATATCAAGAAAATGAAAATCCTTACAACTGGACCAATAAGCAACATTACAATAAATGGAGAAAAGATTGAAGTTGTTAAAGATTTCATATAACTTGGTTCCACAATCAACACCAATGGAAGCAGCAGTCAAGACATCAGATAACGTATCACACTGGGCAAATCATCTGCAAAACACCTCTTTAAAGTGCTGAAAAACAAAGATGTCTCCTTGAAGATTAAGGTGCACCTGCTAACCAGACGGCTGGCGGTTCAAACCCACCAGCCACTCCTCGGAAGGAAGGTCGGGCAAGCCTACTTCCGTAGTGATACTGCCTTGGAAACCCAAGGAGGGGTCGCTATGAGTCGGGCCGACTTGATGGCACATAACAACAACAACAACAACAGTAATTACAGTTAAAGGGTCACTTGGAAATATTTAGTTGTGTGAAAACACTCTGTCATCTGAAATAATAAGAATTCAGTAAATATCAGCTATCAACTTATAGACATCATCTTATTTAATCCTTGTGGCAATTCTTGTGAGTTAAGAATATTATCCTAATTTTATAGATAAGAAACAAATGCTTAGTGAAGTAACCCATTTAAGGTAAGGCTAGAGCCAGGATTCCAACTAAACATGTATGACTAGAGGGCCCACATTCTTAACCAGGAAAAAAAAAAAAAAAAAAAACCACAACAAAACCAAAAACTCTAATACCAAACCCACTGCCATAGAGTTGATTTCAACTTAAAGTGACCCCTATCGAGTTTCCGAGGCTGTAAATGTTTACGGAAGTAGATTGCTTCATTTTCCTCTCATGGAGTGGCTGGTTTAAACTGACTACCTTTTGGATTGCAGTCCAATGCTTTAACCACAGCACCACCACAATTCCTTTTAGTCCAGGTAAAAATCTGAACTGAGATCTAAGTTTAGAGCTGTATTCTGAACCATAATGAACATTTTCATGAAAATCTTTTACTGTTGTATAGAGGCTATATTTAAAGTATTTTGTTTCTGGAATAGTAAGGAGTTTCACTATTCATGCCAATTAAAATATAACTTCTCTAGTTTTAGCCCATAAATAAAGGATTTGTGATAATTTAATACAAAAAAGCTATGAATTTTTTTACTTGATCCTGCCACTGTCTTTAAAATAATATATTGAACTGAAAGGTGAGGGCATAAGACAAGGAAGCCTAGATAAATATCTTTGGTTTCCTTTATATGGGGTATGTGTCTTCCCAGAGACAGTGATAAAGAGAAAAGATTGCATCCTCTTGAGTCTTTATGTCCCTAAGAGACAAGGGGGATGGCATCCACTCCTACCAGGAATGAGGAGAAAAAGGGCAGCTGCCTGTCCCAAGCTGCATCCTCCTTGTGTGGAGGTCTAAAGGTTTCCTTAACCTGGTTTGAGGAATTTCTGGCTTGGATCAGCCCAGAACTCACAAATGAATCCTTATTCATTCATTGCTGTCTTATTCATTGTTGCCTACCAAGGAAAAGCGGACACAAGACCAAGGGACTCAGATATCTAAACATGTTCATCACCAAGACTCGAGGCACAGATACCTGCTCTGACAGAAATCGTACCTGCACCAAGGCTCACCTTCTGCCATCCCCTCATGATAAGGGAGGTCTGCTTAGCAACTTGACACTTGGAGGATGATCTCAACTCTCTTTGGTGCTGCTCTTGGCCTCTCATTTCCTCTCCCATTTTGTCCTGCTAGAAGATGTCTCAAAGCTCCTCTTTCAGAACTCATTGAATACCTCAGATTTAGGGGGATTTCTGATTATTAGCAGCATCAACTCCAAAGTGTTCCAGAACCATCACATCTCTCTTCTCACTCAGCCCAAGGACACCACCACCAGGAATCAAAGACTTTAATAAAAAGACAGGGATCCTCTCCTCCTTCCAAAGATAAATAAATAAATAAAGTGATATATCAATGACTTGAGGCAATTACTGATGAAGATTAAAGACTACAGTCTGTAGTATGGATTACACCTCAATATAAAGAAAACAAAAGTCTTCACAACTGGTCTGGTAAACAGCTTCACGATGGATAGAGAGAATATTGAAGTTGTCAAGGACTTCATATTACTTGGTTCTACAATCAACATGAACGGAAGCAGCAGTCAAGACATCAGACAACGTATTGCGTTGGACAAATCTGCTGCAAAAGACATCTTTCAAGTGATGAAGAGCAGAGATGTCTCCTTGAAGACTAAGGTGTGCCTAACCCAAGCCATGGTATTTTCAATTGTGGCATAGTGCCTAAGGCATTTGACTGCTAACCAGAAGGCTGGTGGTTCAAACCCACCAGCCACTCCCTGGAAGGATGGTTGGGCAATCTACTTCCGTAGTGATATTGCTTCAGAAACCTAAGGAGAGGTCGCTATGAGTTGGATCTGACTCCACGGCAGTGGTTCTGTTTTTTGTTTCTTATGTGTGTGAGAGCTGGGCAATGAATAAGGAAGACCAAAGAAGAGTTGATGCTTTAGAATTGTGATGTTGGAGAAGAATGCTAAGAATGGACTACCAGAAGAACTAACAAATCTGTCCTGGAAAAAGTGCAGCTGGAATGCTCCTTGGAAACGAGAATGGGAAGACTTCATCTCACCTACTGTTGTCAGAGGGAACCATCCCTGGAGAAGGATATCATGCTTGGTAAAGTGGAGGGTCAATGAAAAAGGAGAAGGCCCTCAACGAAATGGATAGACACAGTGGCTGCAACGATGGGCTCAGGTATAGCAAGGATGGTGAGGCTGGCTGGCACAGGACCAGGCAGTGTTTCGTTCTGCTGTGCATAGGATTGCTATGAGTTGGAGATGACGGCACCTAACAACAACAACAACAACATATTGATCGGAAGGGAAAATTACAGAATTTATATTGTTACCGAGTGGAGGTCATGAAACTTTTCTGTAAATGTCTTTGAGGGCCATGTGGTCTTTGTTGTATGACTTACCTCTTCAAAAATAGCTGTAGACAATATGTAAACAAATGATCTAAACTAGGCAGCAGCAGGGATGTTGGAATATTGGCAGTGGTCTGGATTTGGCACGACCCTTATTATAGACAAGGAGCTCTGGTGCCATCGTGCCTAAGGCATTTGACTGCTAACTAGAAGTTTGGCAGTTCAAACCTGCCAGCCACTCTGCAGAAAGAAAATGGGGCAATCTACTTCCATAAAGATTTACCACCTTGGAAACCCATTGGGGGTCACTATGATTTGGAATTGACTTTATGGCAGTGAGTTTGTTTTTTGGTTTCTGTTATAGATAATCTTGTAATTTCAGCAACCAAAATATAAGATTTATTTATGATAATACATGGTTTATGTGGAAAAGAAATTTGACAAAAAGATATCAGTGGCATAAAGTAGAGTGGCAGTGGTATATAATAGTAAAGAATACTTATTTCAGCTCTTTTGTGACTACCTAGATTAATTACTTCATAAACTATTTGATAATTACAGAATATTCTTATTCACTCATTTCTGAAAGTTATTTTTTTTAACCTCGAGAAACAAATCTGCAATTTAGAGTTTTCACTAATTCTGATGAACTCTCTTTTCTTTATCATGTTAGAAATGTTTACTGTAAAAAGATATGTCATAATTGAATGATGATTTATTAAATTTATTTTGAAAATAGTTTAACATTAGTACCAAAAACCAAACCAAACTCACTGCTGTTGAGTTGGATCCTGTGAAATCATACAGTTGAATTGTAGGTTTAGAAATGGAGTACTTTACTGTAATCAATTTTCAGTGTTATATTTTATAGATTTCTTGTTACAAGCAGTTTTGACCCTACAATGCCTTATGGTATCACAAAACTTTAGTAAATGTAAGTCATTTATGGTATTGGCTAATATAGTATATTGCGTGTTAAATCTAATATATACTTACTCTTTTCAGAGATTCGTCAGCGAAATACAGCTCAAAGAAACCTTTCCCCAGCATCAACAACTGCTAACCAGGGCCCTCCTCCACAAGTTCCAGTGTCTTCTGGACCACCAAAGGACACTTCCGCCCCTGGTGGACCCCCAGAAAGAACTGTTGTTACTCCAGCTCTACCATCAAAAGTGTTACCAAGACGTCTTGGATCCCCTGCTACTTCAGTGCCTGGAATGGGTAAACAGAGCACTTAATGTTATTTACAGTTTATATTGTTTTCTCTGGTTACCAATAAAATGAGCCATTTTCAGACAGTATGGAAATGGCATTTCATTTGAAAATAGCAGAGCAGTTATCTGATTAAGCAGGAGTTCCATATTCAATTAGCCATAACTCTTTACAGCTGGCACCTTGTGATACTGAAACCTATTTCTTGAGCTCATTTAACTGTTACGGCTTCTTTGTTTAAATGGCAATAAAACTTGTAGTATTCTGTAGTCAACAGTATAGCGTATCTTTTTATACTCAGCTTTAGAATGGCTCCAGATTTATATAAATTGGAGATGGAGGAATACACTTTTAGAGTAGATTCATGTATTTTGCTAAACACTGCACATGTGTTTTTAAACATGACAATTAGCACATTTCAGGAAGAATATTTCTGCATGATGATGTATAATATACTACGTTTGCTAATATAAGCTGGTAGATTTCTCTTTTTGTAAGCCATAGAATGTTAATATTTTCTGACAGATACTTTAGCATAAAGTTCTATCATGTTAACTTACTCCCTTTACTACTATCTTATTTCTTTGGATGCTCTTTTTTGTCCCAGTGTAATAGAGCTCTAGGGGAAGATGCTATTTTGTAGTTTATCAGATTACCCTGAAATTTTCTTGAGGGTGACTGGGGCATAGAAGCCCACTAGATCACATTATTTTATGTGGAATTCCATGTCAGATTATTGAATATGACAGCAAACTATTTGTCTTATTTTAGCATATTCTAATATTACTTTGGTATTTCATGACTAATTACTGACATACCTTATGATGACTTTGAGGCTAGGCAGTAGTAGGTATCAGGTAATCAGGGCATTTATGGAATAAAAGCAGTGAGCAATTCATCACAGTAGATTTTTTTACTCCAAAAAAAGTGCATAAGATTTTAGAAATTAAGAAGCTTAATTTGTAAACAAATTAAGAAAGCTGACTACAAATGAAATGTACACAATTTTTATAGCTTTTAAAGTAGTTATTTAAAAAATACTTTTAAGCTCAACATTATGACGTCACTATAAAGCAGCCTTATATTTTGTAAAATTGAGAAAAGTTAAATGGAAAATTATTCATCTTATAGTAATTATGTGGTTAATTTGAGCTACCTATTTGTAAATTAAAGTTTCTAATTGTTAAATGAAAGAATATTTTTTTTTGTGAGACTACATGAATTATATGCACTTGTGTATGTAACTAGTTTTTTTAAAAATCAAAGTTTAATAACATATATAGCAATAAAAACGATATTGCACATGTAAGGATAGAGTTGTACAAGGAGTAATGGCCTAAATTTCATGATCATAGTCTGCTAAAGTTACTAATTAGTTTCTGTATAAAAGGCTGTTTAAGTTGTATATTTTCAAACATATGAATGAGCTTAAGTGATTTCTTATAGAGAAGATTAATAATTTATTTTTTCATTATACCATGTTTGTGGAAGAGAATCAATTTAATGTGCATTACCACAGGGTACCCATATGTTTGAAAATTAATAACCAGCAGGTACTTGATAATTTGCCAAGCTGTGTAAAAATGACCAGTGTTCCTACAATGATTGCATTTGATGTTTGTATTAATCAATATTGTCTTCAACAGCATGAATATGAAGATGCATGATTTTAAAAGTTGTTACTATGTAATGGATTTAAGATATTTTTGTGAACTCTCTTGTCATGATTTATATATCCAGATTCCTTTATGGACATTTTTATTTTAAATATGTAGAAGTAGAATACTTGAGCAAAAGATAAGTTTGAATTAAATGCTCTCAAAATCTAATTGCAGGTATTTTCAATTCGAAAATTTAATAATGAGGGATGACACTTAATATCTGCATTCAAATTAATATTTTGATGATAATTGAATAATGTTATTAGTACAAGTAAAACAATAACTTGTCTGAAGAAATCTTAAAAATGTACTTGATTTGTAATACTAAGAACTTGTTCTAGAACCTAAATATCATTTCATAGGTATAATTTTGGTATCATTTCCCCTTTTTTAGGTGGTAACAGCTTCTAGGTTTGTCTTATTTACAAATCAAAACTCTTTTTTTCTTGTTCCTTTAAAATATTAATACAGTACTACTACTGCAAAGCTAGTATTGAATGCCTTAAAAAGTTTTTGTCACAGCCATTTTGAAAACTTTGTATCTTATATTACAGGAGTTGTTACAGTAGGGCCTTACTTTGTTTCAGAGTCTTTTGTGAGGTTTCCATATAAACTTCCATTGCTGCCCACCTTACTATGTTCATACTGCCTCATTTACAATGGCAAACATTACATTTTATTTATCTTATTATCTTACTTCCTTCTCAGTGCTGCCTTCTAAGTTGTTTCTCAATTTAGAATATCTCTCGCAAACAATTCTTTTTGTTTTCAGAGACCTTAGAGTTATAATTCTTGAAGTTTAAATGGATAGCTCTTATTTTTATGAACACTGCTTTTATATAATCTAAGTCATTATATAGGTTCTGTGATTTCTTCTACTCCGCACTATCCATTAGTCTTTTCTGATATTGCCTAATATTATATGAGCACAGTGTATCTCTCCATTTATTTTATTATTTGTAGTTATTGTTGACAAGGAGCTTTGGTGGTACTGTGATTGAAGCATTCAGCTGCTAACCAAAAGTTTGGTGGTTTGAACTCACTAGCCACTTCACAGGAGAAAGAAGAGGCTATCTGCTTCTGTAAAAATTTACAGCCTTGGAAACCTTATGGGGCAGTTCTGTTTGTCCTATACAGTCGTTATGAGTTGGAATCAACTTGATGGCATTGGGTGGGTTAGTTGCTGTTGAGTTTGTTCCAACTTATAGCAGCCCCATGTACAACAGAGCAAGATGTTGTCTGGTCCTGTGCCATCTCATGATCTTTGGTGTGCTCAAGTCCGTTGTTGCAGCCACTGTGTATTTTGAGTACTTTTCAACTTAGTGGGTTTTATCTTCCAGCACTATGTATCAGACAGTTATGATCTGTTGTGATCCGCAGACCTTTCATTGGCTGATTTTCAGAATTAGATCACCAGGCCTTTTTACGTAGTTTGTTTTAGTCTAGAAGCTCCACTGAAATCTGTTTTTCCTAGGTGACCCTGCTGGTATTTGAAATATCATTGGTATAGCTTTCAGTATCATAGTAACATGCAAGCCACCACAGGATGACAAACTGATGGATGGTGTTTCATTTATTAATCTTCTTTAATTTTTCTCATCAGTGTTTTATAGTTTTCATGTATAGGTTTTATACATCTTTTGTCACACTTAAGTCTAATTATTTTATATTTTTTGATGCTATTATAAATGCTATTGTTTTGTTAGCTATTTCTAGTTGTTCACTGCTAGTTTGTATGTGTATGTGTATATATATATATATATATATACACACACACACACACATATGTATTTTTTATACACACACACACACACACACAGTTGATTATTATATATTGAGATTGTATCCTGCAACCATACTAATCTCACTGTGGTAGTTAAAGTTATGTGTCAACTTGGCTGGGCCTGGTTTTGAGTGGCTGGGCAGCTAGATGCAGTTATTTCCCATGAGACTGGTAATCAACTCCATGGTAGAAAGTACTGAAATAGCTGGGTAGCTGCCTGAGGGGTGTGGTCTGCTTCCAGTATATAAGAAGAAGCTTTGAGAAAGGTCTCTGCAGCTTTTTGGCACACTTGGACCCTTCATGAGCTGAGTCTTCATTTAGCAGCCTGCCATGTTTCCTGCCAATCTTGGGACTGTCTCTGGACTTGAACTAGTGGCCTGCTGTGTTGTGTGATAATATTGGGACTGTGACATTTTACTTGTCAACCTTGGGTTTGTCAGCCTCAGCAGCCAGCAGTTGCCTGAATTAAGAGAAGTGTCCATTTTCATTGGGCTGGGAGCAAGAGGCAGAGCTGAAGTCCAAGGTCCAGGGGCCTTCATCCAACCCCTAGAGCGGGCACTTTGACCTCAGACTTCTAGCCCCCTAAACTGTAAGAGAATAAACTCCTGTTTGTTAAAGCCACCCATTTGTGGTATTTTTCTGTTAGAGTAGCACTAGAGGTGACGAAAAAACTCACTAATTAATTACAGTTTTAGTAGGTTTTTTCCTTTTCATAGATTTCATAGTATTTTCTAATGCATACTTGATCTTGTTGTCTTTGAATAGAGAAAATTATGTTCTTCATTTCCAATCTGGATGCCTTTTATTTCTTTCTCTTGCTTTATTATAGTAGATAGAACTTCCTGTACAATGTAATAAAAGTGGTGAGAGCAGACATCCATGCTTTATTTCTAATCTTAGAGGGGAAACATTCTTCTTTTACCATTAAGTTTGATGTTAGCTGTACATTTTTCATAGATACCCTTTATCAAGTTGAGGAAGTGCCCTTCTATTCCTAGTTAGCTGAAGCTTTGTTAGCAGCAGCAGATGATGAATTTTGTCAAATTTATTTTTTACATCTATCGATATAAATCATATTCATTTTTTGCTTACTTTGGCTTTATTTTGGTTGTGTTTTAATGTCTATTTTTTTATTTAAAAATGTTGAGCCATTTTGCTTTTCTGGTTAAACCCCATTTGGTCATAATGCATTTATTTAAAAAAAAATTTTTTTTTTTTTAAATTGTTATTTGGGTGAAGATTTACAGAGCAAATTCACTCTCCATACAGCAGTTCACATATACTTTGTCTCATGTCATTGACCACAGTTTACCACAATGCAACAGCTCCCCTCCCACTTCCTCCCCATAGTTA